TTCCAATTTTTGCCCAATCAGTATGATATTGGCTGTGGGTTTGTCATAAATAGCTCTCATTATTTTGAGATATGTTCCATCAATACCTAGTTTATTGAGAGTTTTTAGCATGAAGGGTTTTTGAATTTTGTCAAAGGCCTTTTCTGCATCTATTGAGGTAATCATGTGGTTTTTGTTGATGGTTCTATTTATGTGATGGATTATGTTTATTGATTTGTGTATGTTGAAGCAGCCTTGCATCCCAGTGATGAAGCTGACTTGATCATGGTGGATACGCTTTTTGATGTGCTGCTGGATTTGGTTTGCCAGTATTTTATTGAGGATTTTCGCATCAATGTTCATCAGGCATATCGGTCTAACATTCTCTTTTTTTGTTGTGCCTCTGCCAGGCTTTGGTATCAGGATGATGTTGACCTCATAAAATGACTTAGGGAGGATTCCCTCTTTTTCTATTGATTGGAATAGTTTCAGAAGGAATGGTACCAGCTCCTCTTTATACCTCTGGTAGAATTTGACTGTGAATCCATCTGGTCCTGGACTTTTTTTTGGTTGGTAGGCTATTAATTATTGCCTCAATTTCAGAGCCTGTTATTGGTCTATTCAGGGATTCAATTTGTTCCTGGTTTCGTCTTGGGAGGGTGTATATGTCCAGGAATTTATCCATTTCTTCTAGATTTTCTAGTTTATTTGCACAGAGATATTCGTAGTATTCTCTGATGGTATTTTGTATTTCTGTGGGATTGGTGGTGATATCTCCTTTATCATTTTTTATTGTGTCTATTTGATTCTTCTCTCTTTTCTTCTTTATTAGTCTTGCTAGTGGTCTATCAATTTTGTTGATCTTTGCAAAAAAACAACTCTTGGATTAGTTGATCTTTTGAAGGGTTTTTTGTGTCTCTATCTCCTTCAGTTCTGCTTTGATCTTAGTTATTTTTTGTCTTCTGCTAGCTTTTGAATGTGTTTGCTCTTGCTTCTCTAGTTCTTTTAATTGTGATGTTTCAGTGTCGATTTTACATCTTTCCTGCTTTCTCTTGTGGGCATTTAGTGCTATAAATTTCCCTCTACACACTGCTTTAAGTGTGTCCCAGAGATTCTGGTACTTTGTGTCTTTGTTCCCATTGGTTCCAAACAGCATCTTTCTTTCTGCCTGTATTTTGTTATTTACCTAGTAGTCATTCAGGAGCAGGTTGTTCAGTTTCCATGTATTTGTGCCATTTTGAGTGAGTTTCTTAATCCTGAGTTCTAATTTGATTGCACTGTGTTCTGAGAGAGAGTTTGTTGTGATTTCTGTTCTTTTACATTTGCTGAGAAGTGCTTTACTTCCAACTATGTGGTCAGTTTTGGAATAAGTGCGATGTGGTGCTGAGAAGAATGTATATTATGTTGGTTTAGGGTGGAGAGTTCTGTAGATGTCTATTAGGTCTGCTTGGTGCAGAGCTGAGTTTAAGTCCTGGTTATCCTTGTTAACCTTCTGTCTCATTGATGTGTCTAATAGTGACAGTGGGATGTTAAAGTCTCCCATTATTGTGTGGGAGTCTCAGTCTCTTTGTAGGTCTCTAAGGACTTGCTTTAAGAATCTGGGCGCTCCTGTATTGGGTGCATATATATTAAGGATAGTTAGCTCTTCTTGTTGAATTGATCCCTTTACCATTATGCAATGGCCTTCTTTGTCTCTTTTGATCTTTGGTGGTTTAAAGTCTGTTTTATCAGAGACTAGGATTGCAACCCCTGCTTTTTTTTTGCTTTCCATTTGCTTGACAGATCTTTTTCCATCCCTTTATTTTGAGCCTATGTGTGTCCCTGCACGTGAGATGGGTCTCCTGAATACAGCACACTGATGGGTCTTGACTCTTTATCCCATTTGCCAGTCTGTGTCTTTTAATTGGAGCATTTAGCCCATTTACATTAAGGTTAATATTGTTATGTGTGAATTTGATCCTGTCATTATGATGTTAGCTAGCTATTTTGCTTGTTAGTTGATGCCGTTTCTTCCTAGCATTGATAGTCTTTACAATTTGGCATATTTTTGCAGTGACTGGTACTGGTTGTTCCTTTCCATGTTTATTGCTTCCTTCAGGAGCTCTTGTAAGACAGGCCTGGTGGTGACAAAATCTGTCCGCGTTTGTTTGTCTGTAAAGGATTTTATTTCTCCTTCACTTATGAAGCTTAGTTTGGCTGGATATGAAATTCTGGGTTGAAATTTATTTTCTTTAAGAATGTTGAATATTGGCCCCCACTCTCTTCTCACTAGTAGAGTTTCTGCTGAGACATCCGCTGTTAGTCTGGTGGGCTTCCCTTTGTGGGTAACCCAACCTTTCTCTCTGGCTGCCCTTAACATTTTTTCCTTCGTTTCAACCTTGGTGAATCTGACAATTATGTGTCTTGGTGTTGCTCTTTTTGAGAAGTATCTTTCTGGTGTTCTCTGTATTTCCTGAATTTGAATGTTGGCCTGCCTTGCTAGGTTGGGGAAGTTCTCCTGGATAATATCCTTAAGAGTGTTTTCCAACTTGGTTCCATTCTCCCTGTCACTTTCAGGTACTGAAGCCTACTTCTGTCAGCTCTTCAGAGTCATTCTCCATCCATCTTTGTTCCGTTGCTGGCGAGGAGCTGCAATCCTTTGGAGGAGAAGAAGCGCTCTGGTTTTTAGAATTTTCAGCTTTTCTGCTCTGGTTTCTCCCCATCTTTGTGGTTTTATCTACCTTTTGGTCTTTGATGTTGGTGACCTACAGATGGAGTTTTGTTGTGGATGTCCTTTCTGTTGATGTTGATGCTATTCCTTTCTGTTTGTTAGTTTTCCTTCTAACAGTCAGGTCCCTCAGCTGCAGGTCTGTTGGAGTTTGCAGGAGGTCCACTCCAGACCCTGTTTGGCTGGTTATCACCAGCAGAGGCTGCAGAACAGCAAATACTGCTGCCTGATCCTTCCTCTGGAAGCTTCGTCTCAGGCGCACCTGCCTATATGAGGTGTCATTCAACCCCTACTAGGAGATGTCTCCCAGTTAGGCTACCCGGGAGGGTCAGGGACCCACTTGAGGAGGCAGTCTGTCCTTTCTCAGAGCTCAAACACCATGCTGGGAGAACCACCGCTCTCTTGAGAGCTGTCAGATGGGGACTTTCAAGTCTGCAGAAGCTGTCTGCTGCCTTTTGTTCAGCTATGCCCTGCCCCAGGAGGTGGAATGTACAGAGGCAACAGGCCTTGCTGAGCTGAGGTGGGCTCCACCCAGTTCCAGCTTCTCTGGCAGCTTCGTTTGCCTACTCACGCCTCAGCAATGGTGGACGCCCCTTCCCCAGCCAGGCTGCCGCCTTACAGTTTGATCTCAGACTGCCGGGATAGCCGTGAGCAAGGCTCGGTGGGCATGAGACCTGCCGAACGAGGCACGGGATATAATCTCCTGGTGTGCCATTTGCTAAGACCATTGGAAAAGCACAGTATTTGGGTGGGAATATCTCGATTTTTCCAGGTACAGTCTGTCACGGCTTCCCTTGGCTAGGAAAGGGAAATCCCACAACCCCTTGTGCTTCCCGGGTGAGGTGATGCCCCACCCTGTTTTGGCTCTCCCTCTGTGGACTGCACCCAATGTCCAACCAGTCCCAATGAGATGAACCAGATACCTCAGTTGGAAATGCAGAAATCACCCATCTTCTGTGTTGATCACGCTGGGAGCTGCAGACCAGAGCTGTTCCTATTTGGCCATCTTGGAATGGAGACCCAAGGTTTTTAATAAACATCCTTTTTATTAATCATAACATGGCAAAATGCGTACTTGCCATTTCTGAAAAGTGATCCAAACTCTACATTCACAGATAAAAAATTCTTATAGAATGTTGTGATAAGCATACATATTGGGTTAAACAAATTTCATAGCTGTCGGAGTGCCATGAAATTAATACTTGCATTTTGGACTGCTGTAGTTTATACTTTTTGTATGTTTCAAGTCAGGTGTGTACCATTTGTACTGAGAACACCACAAAATGAATTACCTAAAATCCCTTGATTTTAATATGTGTTTTGGTTTATTAACAAATTATAGTAATTTCTTACACATTTTTCTAAATTAATTGTACAAGAATACATATATCTGCTTATGGATGCAACGTGTAAATAAAATTTTTGCTCACCAAACCCTATCACAAGGACAGAAAACCAAACACCACATGTTCTCACTCATAGGTGGGAATTGAACAATGAGAACACTTAGACACAGGGTGGGGAACATCACACACTAGGACCTGTCGTGGGGCGGGGAGAGGGGGGAGGGAGAGCCTTATGAGCTATACCTAATGTAAATGACGAGTTAACGGGTGCAGCACACCAAAATGGCACATGTATACATATGTAACCAACCTGTGTGTTGTGCACATGTACCCTAGAACTTAAAGTATAATAATAAAAAAAAATACAAGGATTAAAAAAAAAAAAACTTCTGCTCACTAAAAAATAAGTAAATAAATAAATGCATGTCTTGAGTTTTTTCCTATGGCCTAAAAATTTTTTCAAAGGCCTGGTTGTGATAGTCCTGGGACCGAGTATGATATCTTTCTACATAGTCTCTGAATATTTGGGACTAGTCTATCCCAAAAGATGGAACTTTCCTACCCATTCCATTTCCCTAAGTAGAGGATGAACCTTAGGTCTCCTATAGTCCAATCCTGCATCTCGGCACTTAGGAATCACAACCCATGGCAAGGGCACTTGGACTGCAGAGCCCCTTGCTGGCCTGTGATTACTCAGCATATACCACATGAAGCACACTTAGAAATACAGTGTCTCCTTACAGCCTCCATGTTGTTAGTCTATCCTTGATGATATGGTTTTTGGTGACATGGTTTATTTTCTGTTTTGCAGTGTCACGGACTTTCTGTGGAAGGGTTTGTCCTTCCTTCTTCTACCACTAGAGAGGTAAGAGTCTCTGTCATGCACATTTATGTGACTGATAACTTTTCTGGCTAAAGTATCCCAGTGATCACTTACTTTTCAAAGTGACAGATCTATGCTTTTATAAATCAACTGAACATGAAATGCATTTGAAGAAAAGAGAATTTTTTAATTGAAAGATAATATTATAGAATAATTATGGATTACTTTATATGAAGACAAATTCTTTTAATGGTTGTTTAAGTTAGGCTGGCTTATGTGAGTGTTGTGAGGGTTAGATAAGGCAGAGGGATAGAAATCTAACAATGCATGACTTCTCATGTGCCCCGTCCTTCACATTGCCACCTTTCTCTAGTAGGATGTTTGTAGACCATTAGAACATAAACCAGTGGTTGTTAGCTACAACTATATGTTGGGGTAACCTGGGTTCCAATTTCCAATGTAGTGGATTAGAATCTCCAGGGATGGGACGTGAGCATAGCATCTGTATTTTTTTAATCTGTAGAATGATTCTGATATATAACCATGGTTGAAAAACATTACCATGAACCACAGACACAGATTATCAGATGCTTTTATATTTTCCTTTTTGTCCAAAATGATAAAAACTAGCTTTTACACAGATTCAACAAAGGAGCTAGTGTTAGCATGATAGAAGTAGTAAGATTCAATAGTAGAAAGTTCTCAAAAATGCTGGGGTTGTTGCAGATAGGATCTTGGGGGAAAGGTACAGAAAGCTAATGCTATGCTTCAGGGCTTCACTATTGCCTACAGGCCTTTTCTCTAATCAAGAATGCCATGTCCCCCATTTGTCTTTTCTCTACATTTAAGCAAGAGTGAAATGTTCATATAATTAATAATACATACCTGAATAGTACCTTTAAGAGTCTCCAAACATTATTTTTACATTTTTAAATTTGGTCTTAAACACCATTATGTAAAATAGGCAAAGAAGGAATTATGATTCCTAATTTATGGAAAAGGAAACAAATTTAGAGATTAATTGTCTAAGGTTGTATAACTAGTAACTAACAAAGATAAGACTTGAACCCAAGTCTTCATACTACAAATCTACATTGCCTCCCTAGAGGATATACTCAACACAAGTTTATCAAAACATACTTCTCAATCCCCTTCACCCCCAAATAACTTTACATTTCTTAATGCCCTTTTTAATCTAATAGTATATGATGTTTTACATAATTCTAATTTTTATGTATTATACATACAATTTTAAGTTTTACCCAAGTTTTTCCTTTATTTACAGTCATCAGATTTTAATAAACAGTCATGTAAAAACGCATGAAGTTGCTATGCCATGATATGCCATTCCCATGTTTAGGTTACCTCTAGTTTTACACTTGTGACTAAAGCTACTGTAAGTACTTTTCTATATGGAGCTTTCATTCCTCTTTTGAATTACTATCTTAGGATGAACTCTCAGAAATAGGATTATGGGTTAGAGGGCATGGACACTCATGGCTCTTGTTATGCATTGCCAGATTGCCTTCCAAAAAGATTGAACCAGTTTACTTATTCAATTATTTTGAAGGGGGCTGAATCGATGCTCATGGCTACAGTGTTTTTACTGCCTTTCAGAGCAGGTAATTGATGTCTCCTGGATGATGGACTCTTAGGAAGTGATTTTCTTTTTCTCTATCACAGATGACTCCAGGTGAGATTAAATTCTCTGTTCATGTGGAGTCTGTCCTGAATCGTGTACCTCAGCCAGAGTACCGCCAGCTGTTGGTTGAAGCCATCCTTGTCCTTACCATGCTGGCAGATATTGAAATTCATAGCATCGGAAGCATCATTGCTGTGGAAAAGATAGTGCATATTGCCAATGACTTGTTCCTTCAAGAACAGGTAGGCAAACCTGTTGTTTTCTCAGTAGAGAAATGTTTTTACTCTAACCTTATAACATTCAGAGGTCTTTGAGGAGCCGTGGTCACTTTCTTGTGCCCTCCTCCTCATACTTCTTTTCTGGGCCTCGTTTGTAGCGGCTCTGAGCTCTGTTTGCAAAAGAAGTAGACAGCAGGAAGACCTCTGTCTTTCACCATGTGTTTTGTGGTTTGTGTTAGAGGGTAAAGTTGCCTGGAACTCAGGAGGCTTTATGCTTTTCCCTGAAAGGCCTTGAAGCATACCATTAGCATCATATTTCAAATTTCTGATCACAATGCTTTTTGTAGCTTTAAGGACCTAATAAGAAACTATTGGATGGCATATCCTTTCTGAACTATTAAGGAAAAGAGATTTGGTTTTGGTTTTGCTTTGCTTTTGCTTTTGCTACTCACCTATAGGAAAATAAGAAAGTGAAATTTTTATTTCTACATTTTTCTTATTTTCTTAATAAATCTTCTTCCAGGAAATTATCCACATTCAAAAACACAAACTATTGAAAGTGTCCCAAATGTTGCCTGTATTCACAGGGCACATAAGTGAAGGACAGGTACTGTTGGCAATAAGAAAATTTTCAAAACATGTAATCGGTGTTTTCATTCTGTTAGCCCTTGGGAGGAAATGCAAAAGAAAAGTATCCAGGTTTTTCCAGGACAATTCTAATATTAAATATTCTGGATTGCTGTCAGTCTATGTATCTAAAAATGTGTTCCCTTTTAGGCATAGACCTCTAGCCTCAGAAAACTTAGTCTATTTGGATTAAGTCGTCTTAGAAAGAAATCACGATCAAATGCAGCATAAAAGAATACAAGCTGAAATTAGTAGTACTAGAAGGAGTCAGACCGAAACTCCACTAGGGTGATTTGTGTTAACATTTGTCTATTAATAGGTATGACTCAATAGATTAATGATTATATTTAACTTTTAGAAATTGATCATAATGGGGAAAATTCTAAACAATTAATAATTTTCAAATAATTTGCATGATTTGGGGACCTAGTGAAAAATGCCTGTATACAAACTCATATTCACCCTTTCGTCCATAATCCTATTTCTTCTTGGATAAACAGCCTAGGGCCCAACTAATTGGTGTTGGGGAGGAGGTCTGAATTATATTGATCAGGACTTTACTTAGTAGGATTAGTAATTTTTCCTTTCACCTGTGTTCTTCTACCCTTACAAACCAAACAGAAAACCCTCGGCGCAGATGATATCATGTTGGCAAAGGATCCCGCATCTGGCATCTGTACTCTTCTGTATGACAGTGCACCCAGTGGCAGGTTTGGCACCATGACCTACCTCTCCAAGGCAGCCGCCACCTACGTGCAGGAGTTCCTGCCCCACAGCATCTGTGCCATGCAATGAGGGCTTTGGTTCCTGGCTTCTGGGAGCCTTTTGACAGTTGGTCCCTGCCTCGGTTGATTGTGCATGGAACTAAAGTGTTGTTGCCTAATCACTCTGACCCTGCCCCTTTCTGTCCCATCCTTCCCAAGAAGAGAGAACTTCTTCGATAAACTAACTACTTTAGAAGAAGTGAACACTTACCTGGAGGCTCACCTTGCAGAACCAGTGACAATCTTATGAGTATAATGAACACTCAACCAGGCCTGTCATGACTGGCTTTATTTCTTTCATCATCCATAAAAGTTTGCATGTGTTTTTATTCTCTAGATCTGTTACCAACATAGTTTTCTAACTCCTGTTTGGGGAGCAAGTGTTAATAATAACTTATTCCTAAAGCTTGGTTTTTCTTATTTGTGATTTTATTGTGTATATGAGTGGTGGCTACTTTGGGACATTATTTCAAATGAATAACTCTAAATTGTTAAGTATTTATGTTTCTATAAATTAGAATTATCTATTCTAAGTGCCTTTTCTTAGGAAAAGAGAGTACTGGATCATGGTTTTCTTCCTTACTTACAGGTTGCCTCACACTGAGTGATAAAATTGTTTCTGTGTAGAATCATTGTCTCTACTGTTGCCCTGTCTGTGTCTGCACATATAATGCCTCTCTCGCTTTGGTGAAATATCCAAAAATGCAAGTGCAGCGTGCATATTTAAGAATTTCTGAACTAACACTTGAAATCACATTTTATAAAGGTTGTTGCTACTCAGAGATGTATTTGCAGCAGAAAATGCAGAATAACCCAGAGAAATGGAGCCCTGAGCCCAACTCCAGAGAGGAAGGGAAAGAAGAAAAGATGCCTAGACAATGTCTTATATATAGGGGAAGAGAGAGGGAATCAGAGGTGGCTTAGTTCCCTGAAGACAGCCTTATATGCCTAATCCCTGCCTTTGAAAAATGGGCCAATACACAACACAGATAATAATTTGAAGCCTCTGTCTTGAGCAAAGATAAATTCAGCAGTCCAGTCTATAGCTGCTCTACTTAGCATTCTTTTCATGTGCTCTTGGTCTCTGTCTCACTCACCTACTTTCTACCACATCCAACTCAACTCCCTGACACCCCACCCCCCATCTATTCTTAAACTTTTTCATATATATCTTCACTTCCTAATTCTAGTGTACATATCCCTGTATACATGGTATCTGTGGGCATATGTCTGTTTCTTATAAAGACACATATTTGTGCATGCGTGTGTGTGTGTGTGTGTGTGTGTGTGTGTGTGTGTAAGCATACATGGGAATTTTTATGAATGTAAGCAGTTTTGATGTGTCTGTATGTCAATCTGTATCTACATTTGATGGTCTGAGTAAGAATGTTGCATGTGAGAGAGGGGGTGTAACTGTGGACTCAGATTGACACACACAGGTTGGTGGAAGAATAGCTTTAGTCTTCTTCCTTGGTCCCATGTGTAGGTAACCTTGCTTGACAAATCTTTCTCCTAACTTTCCTTCTTCTGAATTGTGCATAGAGAGTCTGCTAACTTCCCTGTTTGCACTCAGATAACTTCCTACTTCAACCCCCTCCTTTATCTTGGATTTCTAAGGTTTTTCCCCAATAATGGGAATGGTGAGGGTGGGGATGAGAGACTCTCTAAACAATTTTTGCAGAACCAGTGACAATCTTATGAATACAATGATTAAGTAAGTATATAGTAGGGTGATAGAATACAGATAGTAGAAACAAAGAGAGTACAGCCAACCTTTTCAGCACTTCTCTCAGCAAATGGAAACACACAGTAAGTAGCTTTCTGACTACATTATTTTCTGGTCACTTTTAAAGAAAGTTTACAACCTGTTTTGAAACTATTTGTCTTTTCACTGGCTGTAAGTGTACCCCAATCTCAGGGAGTATATCTGGAGTGCCCCAGGCAAAAGATCCACTCATTCGCCTGAACTGACTCGAAGGGCTGCATTTCTCTGAGTTTACGAAATTGTGTCATTATGGTCCCCATACAGTGGTATTTAACTTTTAAAGCAACTTTTAAGAAAACTCTACTTGTATTTTGTTCATTTTAAGTGTGTGGTACTAAAAAGACATGTTAGACTTTTTCAAAAAGCACTTATGTTTTGAAAATAGAATAAATAATAAGAATTTCCAATTAAATCATGTCTGGTGCCAATGTGTAAAACTTTACATGTGTTTTTGTGATTGGAGTTTATTTCATGGCTTTATTCTACATACTCTGCTTAATTATACAGTACAGTCAAAGCTCATTCATTGGTTTGAAGTAGAATAATATTAATATATAGTACGTATATAGTATATAATACATTTATAATATGTTAGATAATATATGTAAAGAAATGCAGTTTAATCATTCAAATACATACCCACTCAAACAAGGCTTACTAAATTCAAGCGGGCTTATTCACATCTATAGGGAACATTTTCTTTTCTTTTCTTTTCTGTTTTTAAGACAGAGTCTCTCCTATCTCAGCCTTCCAAGTAGCTGGGATCACAGGCATGTGCCACCACACCCAGCTCATTTTTTTTGTATTTTTAGTAGAGACGGGGTTTCACCATGTTGGCCAGGCTGGTCTCGAACTCTTGACCTCAGGTGATCCACCTGCCTCGGCCTCCCAAAGTGTTGGGATAACACTCATGACCCACCGCACCTGGCCTGTAGGGAACATTTTCTGATGAATGAATAAAACAGATTTTTACTCAGCATTTCAATTGTGTACAAATGGTGCTTCTTCCCTAATGAAGGGTATTTTAAAACAACTTGTTTTTCTAAATATTAAAAATATTTGGCAGAATCTTGTTTATGCTATTTGTTAGCCTTTTCTATAACAGGATTTATTCAGCAAGGATGAACATTGTCTCCACAGTTCCATCCTGGTTAATGAAATTTTACTACATTCTGGGAATCTTACACAACTGGTGGGGCAAGAGTCATTCTTCACCACAGCTGGCAAAACCTCTGCCATTCCTTTTTCTGTTTACCAAGTACCTAGTATCTGCACTAATGCAGCAGAGATTAAGATAGTATTTTCCACATTTGGTCTTCATTTCCTTTTTAACTTGAGTAACCTCAGGTGTTGGTTTGTCCAGGACAGCCCCCATTTATGCCTGTCTTACTGGCATAATTATCAATAACACTGTGTCACTCTCAAAAAATGTCTCAGTTTGAAAGATACGGTCACCCCTATATTTAGTTGATGTGTGATTTCTTTTAAGGCTAAGCCAAAAAACCAAGAACTTATTCTCAAACCACTAGTAGTACTTGTGCAGTAGTGGTATGGGGGTAAGGACGACAGTTGGGGGGAAACTCCCTTCCCCACCGAATATAGAATTATTTGGCATAATGGCTCTTAAATAACCAATATTTGAGCACATACCAAATGCCATTGTTATATAGGCACTTAGCATGAGCCATTTTATCTTCACAATTGCCATGTAAGATAGATACTGCCATCTCCATCTTACAAGTAAGTGAACTGAGGCACTGAGGGTTTAAGTAAATTGCCCCAAATCAATCATCTAATAAGTAATAGAGCTGGAATTTGAACCCATGCAGTCTGACTCCAGAGTTCACATTCTCAACAACTACACGCTCCAAGGAAAATGACATTAAGGGAGTGGTGTGAAAACAAGGGTCAGTTGAAGACAGTTGAAGTGTCACTGGACAGATAGTGAAATGAGCAGAGAAGACTGCTCATTCACTGAAGGGCGGTGCCCTTGTAATTTTTTTGCCTCCCCTTCTGGGGAAAGGCAGGGGAAAGCACCAAAAGAAATGGCACAGCCCAACCTGAACTTACCGGTTCAAATGTTAGCTTTAGCAATAATGATTGAGGAAAGTGAGTCAAGTAACTTGCCCAGTCAAGTAACTTCACCCTAGCACGCTTTGAAGGCAAGATTGAACCTACTTCCTCTGATCTCAAGTCCTCCAACTGCAAATACAGTACATTGAGAAGGGATATCTTCCCAATTTAAGAACCATATGGGTATTACGAATGTGGAAAATTGAGGTGAGGGAACTGTGGCAGGATTTGTGCTTTCTTTTTTTTTTTTGAGACGGAGTCTCGCTCTGTCGCCCAGGCTGGAGTGCAGTGGCCGGATCTCAGCTCACTGCAAGCTCCATCTCCCGGGTTCACGCCATTCTCCTGCCTCAGCCTCCCGAGTAGCTGGGACTACAGGCGCCCGCCACCTCGTCCGGCTAGTTTTTTGTATTTTTTAGTAGAGACGGAGTTTCACCGTGTTAGCCAGGATGGTCTCGATCTCCTGACCTCATGATCCACCCGTCTCGGCCTCCCAAAGTGCTGGGATTACAGGCTTGAGCCACCGCGCCCGGCCGGATTTGTGCTTTCTTAACCATGAGCAAGCGTCTCGCCTCCCTTTGAGATTAGCTGCAGGAATAGGTTGCCAATTCCAGAGCATTGTGCAACAATTTATCTTTCTCCATAGCTGAATCATCTTGCCACATTGCATAGGGTACTTGGATAGTGTTTCCAGTTGAGAACCATTCAGCCGTTTGTTACTAGACCAGAAAGGACACATGAAACAAGACCTTTTCATGTCGTCCAGAATTTAGGGTGTCAATTGGCCAGTCTATCTCCTGCCCTCTTTCCGCTGCCTATCCCTGAAGGCCCAGGACAAGTCCCATTTCTCCTTATGTTGCCAGTCATCATTATCTCACCTTTCAGTCAAGTCCTCTAGCTTCTCCTGTCTATAAACATGTGCAGTTTTCTCTTTAAAAAATTTCCGGGCTCTGACGTCCCCTCAGGCTGTTAGACTAACTCCTTCCTTTCACAATCACAGTTTTTCAAAGAGGAAGCTACATTTAACTGTTTGCTTCACTTCTTAAACCCCCACAATCTGGCTTTCTCCCCTGCCTCCATAGGGCACCAGTGAGTTTCTAATGGCCAAAAGGGGTCTTTGACCATTCCTTGTCTTCTTTCTGACATCTTTTTCTCCTCTCAACCCTTATATACAGGCATTTCCAAAAATGACACTCTTCTTCCTAGTTCAGAGGTCCTCACCAGGATGTAGGGTAGGTTTTGTGACATGATCTGATTTACTTATTTTTGGAGGCTCACTCTGCTGGCTGCAAAGATAATGGATTATAGGGCAGCAAGAATGGAAGCAAAGCCCAGGTAGATACTGCAGAAAGTTCAAGTGAGAGATAATAGTATCCACACTATAGTGGTGGAAGTACAGAGTGAGAGAAGTGAGTGTGTCTAAGGCACATCTTTGACGTAGAACCGATGGAAATTGCTGATGGACTGGATCTGCAGGTGAAGGAAAGGAAGAAACCCAAATAACTCCCAGGTTTCTGACTTAGGCAACTGAATAGATGTTGGTATCTTTACTGAGCTATGAAAGATAGAAAAGGAGTGAAAAGAACTTGGATGGGGAAATTGGGAGCTTGGTTTTGAAAATGTTGGATATGACTATTAGGCATCCCAGTGGAGAAAGCCACATCCCTTGGCTATATCAGCCACTCTTATGACTTCAGCTTTCTCCTCTTTATATGGAAAATGTGTGTGTGTGTGTGTGTGTGTGTGTGTGTGTGTCACTGCAATCGTTTAACCCATTAATTTCTGAAACACTTTTCAACACTTTTAAAATCAGAATCCATGTCCATTCTGTCCTACTGTATGAGTTCTTCCTCCTGATTGCCCTCTTTCTTATATTGCTACCTCTAGCCTTCTCCTTACCCAGAGTTTACATTTAAGAGTTTTCAGCAACCCTTTTCCATCTTCCTCCCTCTCACCAATATCCAAGTAATAAAGAAGTCCTGTTGAACCTATCCTGTACATTATTTCTCCTTTGTTCCCATTGCCCCCACCCTAGTTTTAAATCATTATCACTTCTTATTTGGACCATTGTGGCACTCTAACTGCCCCTAGCCTTTTAATGACTAATCTTTCCTACACACTGCTACTATAGAAATCTTTTTTCCTTACTATTTCTGTCTAAATGTGTTTTCTCATTTCCCACAGAATGTAGTCTATTCTCTTTAGCCTGGTAATCAATGTTCTTCATGATCTGGCCCTTTTAGCTAAACTCGACTATAATTTTTCTCTTTTGTGTTTTTGTTTATGCTGTTCATTCTAGTCAGCATGCCTTCTCCTGGCTCCTATCAAGCAAAATCTTACCCACCTTCTAAGACCCTCTCAAATGCCACCAAGGTGAATTCTAGTTACCATTTATTAAATACCAGTTATTTAGTACTTAATACTTATTTATTAAGTAGTCTAAGCACCCTACATTCATTGTCTGACTCTGCATTGCCTTTGGTTTCTTGTGTATTTGCCCCATCTTCTGTATAAGAATGCAAATTCCCTGAGAGCAGAGATCACATTATAATTTATCTTTGAATCCTCAACTGTACTGTACACTTAATATCAGATAAATGTTTGATGAATGAACAACTGCAGACCTTTTAACTAGTTGCTATGGGAAGATATAAATAAAAGAAACATAAGATCTTACATTCTGGTTACAGAGCACATCACCAGAACACCCCCAAGATTTTCAGAATAAGTATTGAAGGGATACAAAATGGAGGGCGAACAAAGTTATATCATAACACAAAGTCATCCTGGAGGAATCAAGTTTATATAATAACGGGAATGTAAAATGGCTTCAGTGTCAGACTGACCTAATTTTGAATTCCTGCTTATCTGCTTGTTATTTTGTTTTTTTAATTTTTTTTTAGAGACGGAGTCTCGCTCTGTCGCCCAGGCTGGAGTGCAGTGGCCGGATCTCGGCTCACTGCAAGCTCCGCCTCCCGGGTTTACGCCATTCTCCTGCCTCAGCCTCCCTTTTTTTTTTTTTTTTTTTTTGGTCTTAGTGCTAAAACTCAAAATCGCGGTTATTTTAGTGGTTAGCCCGGACTCTTCCGTTGCTCAAACCTCTGGAAACTACATCTCCCAGCATGCTGTGAAACTGGTCTGACTTCATCTCAAATGGCCCCGTAGGGCAACAAGGATGGTTAGTTTTGACCCTATTTATTTGTGCCATAAAACAATCGATCCTAATTGACAGCTATTTGGACTTTTACATCTGCCAAACCCTTTTTCTTGAACTGTGGTCGCTAAATGAGGGGAGTCTGGTCTGGGAAGTCCCATCTATTCCTTCAATAGGATGGGGAGTGGGGATAGTGTCTCCGGCGATCTCAAGAAT